ATCCAGCTTCCCTGTCATTTGGCACTATGTGTGCTTGCCATTTTAAACCTAGCTGTTGGGACTTTCACGATGGAGGTTGGTGGGTGTACCTCAACACCAACCACTACTGGTTTCCCCGAATATGACTTAGTGGTAATATTCTTCTTACTCTGGTTCCTCATATGTCCTTGCTCTCCACAGTTCCAACAACCCTTCTGGGTAGCAGCTTTTCTTGCTGTGGCATCTTCCCTGTGTTGAAGTTGCCAGCATTGAGCTTTCTTGTGCCCAGGTTTATTACAGTGCCAGCAAAGTCCCTCAAACCTCTCTGAAAGCTGTCCTTTTCTGGCCTTGAATCCTGATGACTGTACCAACCTTGGTACCTCTTTGCTGGACTTAATGTAGGATTCAAATTCAAAAGCTCTGGCCATTGCATCCTGCATAGTAGAGGGGTGTGCTTGCTTCACTTGTATCTTCAGTTGTGGACTATCCATGGCATCTACGAACTAATCCCTCAGCAACAGCTTGAGGAGATCGGGTGGTGCAGTTGGGTAGGCCTTGTGTGAAATACTTTCTAAATCCTGTGCCAGCTCTTGCAGGCTCTCCCCTAGTCCTAAACCTGGCCCTGTAGACTTCGGACTGATTTTGAGTTCCATACCTGAGCTCTAGAGCAGCTACCAGTGCTCTGTAGTTGTGCCTGTCGTCTGCTGAGAACTGTCCAAGTATTTTCAGTAGTTATCCCTTCAGGGTAGTTGCCAGATATACTGCTTTTTGCTCCTCTGTCCATCCATTCTTTTTTTTTTTTTCTATCCCGCTTCTGACACCAATTTGTTACGTCTCTGTGTTCGTTTGTTAATTTTCCGTAGAAATTCTTTCGTATAAACTTCAGTGATACAAGACCTTGACTCAATTGTCCATCTCTGTCTGTCTGTAATTCTATTCTGATTAATTCATTTCCCTTTATCTGGTGCACTTATATACAAGAATAGAGGATGCTTAGAAAAGACCAGAGTTGTCATGAACAGACATGATCCTTTTAGAATATCATGTCGTGTTAGTAGCGTCATGTGACTTCCGCTGTTGTAACAGTATCCATCTATTTCAAGAATGGATTTAAAATGTGTTCGCAGGCTTTGGTTTTGAAACTGTTATGGTTGGAATTTCTTGATTATTCAAATTTACTCTCAATTGTTTTGATACTGAGAGTAAAATAAATTTGTTATATGTTACAATAGCCCTAAGTAATCAAGAAACAACCAATGCACTTTACCATACACCCATGATGAAACCTCTTCTTCTTTTTTTACATTATGCCTCTCATGATCCTGAATTATTCAGTGGACAAGCTGTTTAAGATACTAATACTTAAACTGCTTGTCTGATAAATAACTTAGAATAATGAATTAGTAGCAATAATCCTACATATTATTCAAGTCCTATATAAATATAGGTTCACTGTGGTGATTAAAATACAACTAAAAACAACTTGCACATTATCTACTCAAGGTTCATCTCTTAGAGTTTTTGGAGACATACATAGACTATGTATTCAATATTTTAATTTGAGAGTTTTAATGTCACATCAGGAGCATACAACTTAGTGACTAGAATTTATTTTAGAGCTGGACTGCAATAGTAGTAGTAAGTTGTTCACAGATTTTGAATTTATTAGTTCAGTATTATAAGTTTCTGTTTGAATGAAGTATGCAAGTACACAAACTACTAGAGAAAAAAGCATTCAATAAATTAAAGAAAAAACTAACCACTGTTTTTGTATTAGGTGGTGATCATTCATGAAATAAACTTTTTTTTTTTTTTTTTTTCTAGGAGACAATGGTAAAATAGAATATGATATTGTGGGGGGAGATGAAGACAACCAGTTCGGAGTCTCAGCAAATGGTACAATTTTTACTTCAGAACCTCTTGATCGAGAAACTCATTCCTTTTACAACTTAATTGTTAGTGCTACTGACCAAGCATGGCCAGTAGAAAGACGTTTGTCCAGCACAGTTCAAGTGACTATTATTCTAAAGGACATAAATGATGCATTTCCAGAATTTATCACTCCAAACACCACATCTGTTCTGGAAAATGTACCAGTTAACACAGTCGTCATGGCAATAAAAGCTATTGATCATGATGAAGGGAGAAACAGTTACATAGAATATAGCCTTTCATCTTCAGCAGATAAGTTTCTACTTGGACCAGTAGATGGGCTTCTTCGGGTTAATGGACCACTTGACCGGGAAATACAGTCTAAATATGAAATCACAGTAATCGCCAAGGATAGAGGGACTCCATTAAGGTCTTCTTCTGTAAATATTGTTATTAACATCTTGGATGAAAATGATAACAATCCAACATTTGACCCTAGACAGTATAATGCATCAATATCAGAAAATGCAAGTATAGGAGTGAGTGTTCTAGAGGTTTCAGCAACTGATCAGGATGAAGGTTTAAGTGGACAAGTTCGTTATTCCATCATTGCAGGAGACAGTAATCATGATTTCATAATTGGTGAAGACACAGGAATCATTAGAGTGGGCAAGAATTTAGATTATGAAAGAAAAAATCGCTATACCCTCACCATACAAGTAGAGGATGCTGGAGAGGATGTACGTTATGATACTGCTACTGTTACTATAATGGTAAAAGATATAAATGATAACCCTCCAACTTTCTTGAATTCTCCCCATGAAGTACATATTATGGAGAACATAGAAACTTTGCCAGCTTCATTAGTAACTATAGCAGCTCAAGATGCTGACTTCCTTCCTAATAATCATATCCATTATCTGATAAAGGATGCTGACAAGAGTCTTTTTATTATCAATTCCTCTACTGGGGAAATTTCTGTGATGAGAACATTGGACAGAGAACAACAGTCACAGTATGTTTTAAGTATTCTAGCAATGGATTCAGGTACGTTTTTTTATAATCTAACTAAATGTTGGAAGTGTTTATAACCAAAATTTATTTGGCTTGCAAATGTTAGGTGTTATGTTTAAAAATATGATGTTTAAAAATTTTTGAAAGTAAATGTATTCATTAATATCTAAATTTTTTTGGTACCTTCTTGATTAATTGTGAATAAGATTTAAATTTTTATATTTTTTGATAGGATTCAACATTGTAAAAGTGTTGAAATAACTCTGGAAACCTTAAAATGATTAAATAACCTTCTATTATTTGCTCACTTACTTGTAAAAATATTAGAAATATTCTCACTTTGTACTGAGAACAAAGCTTATCTACCTATGTTCTGTTGGTTTGATCATTAAGAGTTAACTGAACGTGAAATATTGACTTGACTTTTGCCTTGTATAAATATGCACTTTGTTTTACTGTTTATAATACATTCATAGTATTTTAGTAGTTAGATAATTTATAAACGTACCACTTCTTTTTATCAAGAAAAGCAGTTTGGATTTTTAATGTGTTTCTATGGTATGGTGAAGGCTGTAAAATGAGGTTTGCTTATCTTTCATGACATCTTATTTTACTTATTATTCCTCAAACCCTATGTTCTCAAAATAAAAATTAGTCTTTCATCAACTGCTTTGTATGTTCTGGTACCTGATCATTACTAGAGGTGGTTGTAAAGGCCACCTATATATCTTTTATTTCTTAAATTATATAACTTCATATCACCAAGTAATATTCAGATTTTTTTTCTTCAGACATTGACTTGCTTGTCATTTATTATATTCTCAAATCTAATTGAATCGTGTTGAGAGTAGTTGAAGTCACTGAATCATAATTAGTTCTTTAAACTTGTGTATGATGTAGCATAATAGATAAGATAACAGTCATGGAATAAGATTTAAGTATATCTATTTTATAAAGCAGGCTAGACACTAAATGGTTGTCAGATATTTGATATGAGATATAAAGTATACAAGTAGAATCAGTAAAACACCTTTAGTGGCAATCAAAAACTCTTCCCCTTATCATGAGTTTAAACTAAAGCATTTTTTGTACATAGAATTATTCATTTCCTATTAATGTTACATTCCTCTGCTCAAAAGATTTTCTTAACACCCTTCAAAACAGAAGTGTCTGGTTTCTAGTTGGTCACACCCAGTCTGCTATCAGGCATAATTTCTCCATTAAGAAAATCAGCCCTTACTAACCTTTATTTAAATAATTTATTCAGAAAACCTTGTAACTTTACTTTTTTGTTTTCTACTGCTAATGATTTAAAGTTTCTACATAACACCAATGTGACTAATGAATTCAAGTTGTACAAACAGGTTTTTGCTTGGCAGATGAAAATAAATTTTGTGAAACTGCAGTGAAGTAACTGGTGTATCACGTTTTCCTCTAATGGCCTATGGCTTTTGATTTTTCGAATATTGTAATACTGAAAATGGGACAGCATTACAGAGAAAAGAAGACTGTAAAAATATTAATTGATTTAATTGTAATGTTTTCGCTTGTAGTACAGTGGAAATCTATCTTAAAAATCTTTACAGAAAGGCACAGAATTTAGATGTTTTTGTTTTCTTGTATTTAGAATTAACTTTAAGTGGAGATAAGGATGTCTTTAAGTGAATTACAAATGTCTATAGATATTGTATGTATATATAAAAATGATCTTTTTAATATATTTTAAAAGACATCTTTAAAACCCAATTTTTATTGAAGTACAATGCACTTGTCACATAATTTTAATTTTACTCTTTAGCGTAATATCATTATCTGAAAATGTAAAATGTAATTACAGATGTTTAAGAGCTGGTTATTACATAAATTGTGTGATTATAGTTTGTTTACTGTAAAGTTTCTAAAGAAAAAATATAACACTACTTGATTTATAACTATTTTATGTCATTCCATTTTGTCTGTGTTACTTCTGTCTAATAATTGTGCACACAAGCATATATCTGTTACATACTCACACACATCTATGTTCTGAAAATACATTTTTAGAGTGTTTTGTGCATTCCAAATTATAAATTTGCCAATATGTCTGAAATATTAAAGTACTAGTGTGTAAAAAAAAAAAGTACACCACCACCATTATCCAATTTAGGTAGGTGGAGCTCTTATTTCATTTTTCCATACTTCATACAGGAAGCCCTCGACAGACAGGGACAGGGACATTAACTGTGGTAGTCAGTGATCTAAATGACAATAAACCTGTTTTTGAAAAGGCTCATTATATAGCAACCATAATGGAAAATCGACCATCTGGCTCTGAAGTGATTACTGTGACTGCCAGTGATGCAGATGAGGGACGTAACAGTATTCTTATGTAAGGAATGTTTTTAAAGTTCTTTTATGAATATATAGAAAAAAGAAGATTCATCAATATATTTTGTAAATAAGAAATGTTTTTGTGTGGCTATAACTGAATTTACTCTTTTAATACTTTCCAAGTGCATATTTTTGTAATAAACTAAACAAATATCACCTTGATTTGAAATAATGCTCATCATATAAATGATGTATATGGTTGTGAGCCACCAGAACAAGCATCTTGTATAAGATATTATAAATATTTCGTGTATATTACTAAACTTCCAGTGTTACTTGTTTCAAAACTAAGAAAGGTATTGTATTTGCCATTTTTCTCTAATGTCATTTGTTAGGTTACCAGTAAATTCAATTTTAATCGTACCAAACAGCATAAAGTGTAATATAGTTGGTTACATTTTTTCATTAAGTTACAGTGCATTCTTGCTAAAGGTGTTCAAATTAATTGTTTTACCTTTGTGACAAAGAAAGCAAAACCACGTGAAATAATTTATGGAATTTTCCAATGACTTTAGGTGATTTTTTTTTATCATTAAACCAATTTACCTTTTAATAGTGATATATTTTTTTAGATTAAATTTTGTTTTAACAGATTATTAAATATATACATAGTTAAGAAACTTAAGTAGTCAAAGGTTTGAGAAGTTTTTACAGCTTCAAACATATTAGATATTTAGAGTTTACACAAAATTATGTTATTTCCATCGTGCTTAACTATATGTTTGTAGACTGCTATGAAAATGAAGATAAATTAATTTGTGAGTGTGTATATGATATTTGTAATATTTCTATGCTCCATTAAAATGTTGTAGAGTAGCCTTTATAGATGGTATAGTTCCTTTTTGTGGGTAGACAATGCCAGTCAGATATGTAATGTCATATTTGTGATAAAGATATTTTGTATTAATGTTTATCACAGGTATTATCCCTGTTATGTTTCTTTTGTAGTTTGGCTAAGAGAAGAATGTTACTACTGATTAACTATGCTGTAACCACTTCCGTAATTATTCTATAGTGATATTTTTATATTTCTATTTTGCTTGAGCAAACTTACAAGTTTGTGTTTAAGTAGAATGTTGCAAGTTTTTTATTTAACTGTACTCAAAGAAGATAACAGAGAACTGAAGTTGGTACTGGAGAACAGTTTCTAGTACTTCAGATTATCTTGTCCAGAACTTACCTGAAAATGTGTTTTTATTATTTTTTTATACATTTAGATTTATAGTCAAACTCTTCAATCTTTGAGTTTATCACAAGAACTGATTAGACCTTTGATTAAATGTTTTTTCTAATTTTTTCCTAAACTATCAGGTACACTTTAAGCGGAGATCATCTGGATGAATTTCACGTTGATCCTTCCACAGGCACTATTAAAACACATACTGTTTTGGATCGTGAAGAGAAGGATGTATATGAAGTGGTTCTAATAGCAAGAGATGGTGGGCTTGCAATACAACATTCTGCATATGTAAATATAACCATTAAAGTTGGAGATGAAAATGATAACCGGCCAACCTTTGCTGAACAAAATTCATCAGTATATCTTCCTGACAGTGCAGCAGCTGGTAAACATCTGATTAAATCTTGAAATTTCATGAATATTTTTTGTTTTAATACAATGTGTTAAAGAATAAGCTTTTTAAATGTTTAAAGTAGTGTTGTAACATTGCTGTTTCATTGGTGGGTTCTTTTAGATTACCTGTTGAAAAGAATTCAACATCCAGTCCATGTACTGACCATAAATTACTTTATTTCCTTTTTATATTTTTCAAGAAACTTGAACACTTGTACGGTTCTATAACTTGATGTAGGCCTATGCTACAAATGAAGTTAACTAACATAAAAAAAATCAAGTTACTTGTACAAAGTAACTGTGATAGCTAACACACTGACTGATTCATTCTCTATCTTGAAATAATAGTACACACCACACATCTATCTTTTATCTGTAATCGAATATGCTGGAACAAAACTTAACATCAAATCTTAGAACTTTTTAGGTGGCCTACTTAACATCATCATTTATGACCCCCAGCTCCCTTCTAGCTAACAAATAAATTACGACATTAAAAATCTGATTTACAACAGTAAATTTGTCAAATTAAAGTCTCATAAAACTTCCAAACATTTTTTCTCTTACTTCTAATAAAAACTTATTTTTTGTTAATTGAAAAAACAATGTAAAAGAAAAATTTCAAAGTGTTTCAACCAAACAGGTCTTAAACATGTGTTTGTATTATTTGTTATTTTATGAAATAAAATATTTCTTTCAACCTTAGAATAATGTTTCCAAAAGGAATGCAAAGTTATTGGTTATTCTTGTCTTTAATTATTATTTTTGTCTCTCTAAGGACACTTTGTTTTTGGAGCCTCAGCGCATGACCCTGATGCTGGATTGAACAGCAGGCTTGTTTTTCACTTATCTGGTACTGATGCAGACAAGTTTCAAATTAATCAAGACACTGGTGTGGTTAAACTTGTTCAAAAACTTGCCAATAAACCAGAAGGTTATAATCTTGAAATTCATGCAACTGATAATAGTCCTACACCATTATCTTCAAGTACTAATGTAGTGGTATACTTAAAACCAGCCCACCTTTTTCCACATTTTCTTTCTGGCAAAAGACATTTTATTTTCTCAGAAAATGCAGAAAATGCATCAGTCACAACTGTATCTGCATCATCTCCAAAAAGGGGAGAAGCTGGAAAGATTACCTATCACATTGCTGGTGGAAGATTTGGTGAGGCATTCCATGTTGATACACAAAGTGGAAAAGTCTGGCTTATTGGAGGACTGAACTATGAAGTCTTTTCAAAATATGAAATATGGATTGAAGCAAGAGATAATGACATTCCTTATTTGGGAACTGCTGTAAAATTAGAAATAGAAATTATTGATGCCAATGATAATAATCCTGTTTTTGAGGCTGAAGTATATAATGCTACTGTAATGGAAGAGCAAAATCCTCCACAGTTTGTGCTAGTTCTTCAGGCAGAGGATGCTGACAGTGGAGCAAATAGTGAAATAGCATACCACCTTGTGAACAAGGAGACACCTGACATTCCATTCAGTCTAGATTCTGAAACAGGAAAGATTTACACAAAGTCAAACCTTGACAGGGAAGAATTTGAAGTTTATAAACTTGTAGTTGAAGCCGTGGATCAAGGAGTACCAAGTAGAACTGGCACGGCTACAGTATTTGTTACTGTGCTTGACAAAAATGATAATCCTCCACGTTTCACTCGTTTATTCAGTGTTAATGTGACAGAAAATGCTCCTTTAGGAGCTTTTGTAATACAAGTGACTTCATCAGACAAAGATATCAGCATGAATGCAAATGCAACCTACAGCTTTACTGAAAATCCTGGAAGGAAGTTTCGAATTGACCCACTAACTGGAAATGTTACAGTAGCTGGCTGGCTAGACAGAGAAGTACAGGATGAATATCTTCTAAAAGTGGCTGCTGTAGATGGGTCTTGGCGTGCTGAAACAACATTAACTATTACAGTTCAGGATGAGAATGACAATACTCCTGTATTTAATGAAAATATATACACTTTTAATTGTCCTGAGCTGCAATCAGCCATTTCTTTCATTGGACAAATATCAGCTACAGACCAAGATAAACATGGGCCAAATTCAATTGTTACTTATTCATTAAGGCGTCCATCAGATTACTTTCGTATCAATCCATCGAGTGGAGAAATACTTAGTAAACAAGTCCTGCATTATAAATGGTCATCAAAAGGTTTTTCTCCAGAGAATCACCACACATTTCAAGTTGTTGCAACTGATCATGGAAAACCCCCCTTGTCAGTGGAAGTAACAGTTGTCATTAATGTTGTGGATTCCAATAATAATCCACCAGTTTTTGAAAAACAGAACTATTTTACACCTGTCACTGAAAGTGTCAGAATAGGCACTTCTGTTATTCAAGTTGTTGCCAGAGATAATGGTGATGTTGGAGTAAATGCTCAAATAGATTATCAAAAGGCTGGAGGAAATGGAACAAAATATTTCAATGTGAATAAAACCACAGGTTTGTACTTTTTTTCTAGTGAATCTGTTTTTTAATGAAAAACTTTTATTGAAATTCTTAGTACTGTTATCCAAGGAAATTAAGCATAAAATACTTCAAATTATGGTCATGCTATTCTATTTAAAAACACAAGTCATTTATGTGATTGAAATTTAATTTAGTGAATTCCACATTGTATGCTGCAAGTTGTTCTTTTTGCTAAAAAATCAAAAATCAAGTAACTATATAAAAGAACTTACCTTACCTATTCTTTGTTAACTTGTGTTTATAAAAAACGTCTAGAAGAGTTTAGGTGTGATTTGATAGTTTGAGCTCATGTTGCTTACAAAATGAGTTACTGAATCATGATAACTTAATGTTAAACATCTGCAAGGTAAATGAATTGTATCAATTAAAATACATAATTATTCATATAGGTTGAGACTGATTCAAAAGTAAGATGCTTGTATAAACATAACATGACATTAAAGGACAGCAGTTGGCCTTTTGGTCTATCTAGGCCATCCTATTCACTAAATTAAAACCTCAATGCCAGTCCTTATTGTTCAAATATTTATCAAAATTTCTCTTAAACTCCCTTAAGTTAACTGCATCCACCACACCTGAGTGCAGCCTGTTCCAAAGGGCAACCATCCTGTTAGGAAAATAAAGCTTTCTTAGCTGAAAATGATTTCTGCCCTGCCAGAATTTATACTTGCATTATCTGGTCTTAACATTTTCACCACTAAATATGAAAAAAAGATGTTGCATTAAAACTTTCAATTTTCTTAACAAGGTAAGGAGCCCAAGACTGAACAAAGTACTCCAACTGTGGCCTAACCAATGATCTATACAATGACATTATAACATTTTTAGACTTGTATTCAATATTTCTGTAGATACAACTTAAAATACTATTTGCCCTGTCACTATTAACAGCATATTGCTTGGATGATTTAAGAAATTGATTAACCAGAACACCAATATCTTTTTCTTCCATAATGCTGTTAAGGTTATTCCCATTAAAATGATACTCATAATTCAAACTGTGATATTCCACATACATTTCCTTGCATCTATTATTATTAAAAGCCCTCAGCTATATATTCATCCAACTCAACAAATAATCCAAGTCCTTTTTGTAAAGCGAAGCATTCTCCTTACAGTCAGAAATAACCAAAACTTTAATGTCATCAGCAAATTAAAATAATCTATTGAGTATTTCTTTACCTATGTCATTGAGGTGAATAAAAAAGAACAAAGGTCTTAGCACTGGGCCCGGAGGTACCCCATTCATGACATTATTCCAGCTTGACTGAACTCCATTTATAACAATCCTCTGCTTTCTTCCATCTAGCCAGTTTCCTATCCAATGAGCCAATCTATCCCCCACACCTAGAGAGATAACATTTTAAACAAGCCTTTTATGTGGCACCTTCTCAAATGCTTTCAAAAATTCAGATACACCAAATCTACACCCATATCCTCATCTACATAAGCAGTAAATTTTTCAAAGAATCTCTAAAGATTAGTAAGGCAAGACTTTCCCTTAGTGAAACCATGCTGACTATCCAACAAAATTTTAAACTTTGCAAATCATCTTTTATCAGACCTTAAAATTTTTTTCCCACCACTGATGTAAGACTAACAGGCCTACAATTGCTAGGACAAATTTATCATCTACCTTGAAAAAGTGGAGTAACTTTCAATCTTCTAGCATCTGCACACTAGTCAAGAATGTAGAAAAAATAATAGTAAGTGGCTCACATATCTAATCCTTAACTTCTTTCAAAACCCTTCGGTAAATATTATCTGGCTCAGGATCTTTATTATTCTTTTAACTTTCCAATTTTTTCTTAACAAGCCCAAAAGTAATGTGATCATCTCGTTCAATCTTGTTTCCATTTAGTAACTGTTGCTTAAATCTTCATTAGTAAAAAATAAAGAAAAAAGCCAAAATTTAATAATTTAGCCATAATATAATTACCAGATATTAGCCTTCATGTATCATCTTTCAAAGGCCTTACAACCTTTCTAATATTTTGCTTATCCTTAACACATTTGAAGAAATTCTTACAATTTTTTCTTACATTTTCAGCCAACGTTTTTACATATACTTTTTGATTTCCAATTTTCCCCTTTGACCAACTATCTTGATCTTGAATAAGTCTCCAAATCTCCCATTATTGCAGTCAATTTAAGCTTCTTACACTTATAATGCTATTCTTTAATTTTATCCTTTGTGAGCCAACCTTTTTACTTGCAGCCACCATTTTTGGTTTATAATGAACTTGCCTATCTTGAACATTTAAGAGTTAAATCAAAATATTTTTTCACATTTGATCAGTATCTCCAACTAACTCTGAAGGAAGTTCGTCTAGGTTTAATGTATATCCTGTCCCCTCCACTATTTAAATGTGGGATTCTAGATATTCTGTGTATGGAGGTGATGTATCCAATGGGAAGTTAAAATTTTCCTTACCTGAAAATATATTTTGAATAGATATTTCTGCACAACTTTCCACCTGTCCTCCTTATTTCTGGTGCACTTTCTTTTTGCCTTGTCTGAGAATTGAGTTATATCACATGTAAGTACTTAAGGGCTATCATAGCATGCAGTGCACACTAAACACGTGATTTTTATGTGGGAGTTAGTTAAGGGATAGTGAAATGCCAATCTCTTAGGCAGATGTACAAGGGATAAAGCTATTCTGTGTGAAAATGAGATGTTAGTATCTATTAGAAATACATTTTCAGGTAAGGAAAATCTTAATTTTAATTGAGCAATGATTACTTGCACCCAGATGTTCCCCAGTTTCTACCATATCAACCATTTCTTTATTAGAAGTTAACAATAAATATAAAACAACATTGTTCCTATTAGGTTCTCTAACCAATTCTTCAAGAAAAACATCCTGAACAATTTCTAAAAACCTGTCTCCTTAATGATTTGACTCTAACATTTCCCAATCTATGCCTGAAATTATAATCTCCCATAATTATAACCTGATTAACAGATAAATTATTTACCTCACTCTAGAGTTTGTCATTAATTTCACCAGTTTCATCTGGTGATCTGTAAGTCCAACTAAAAGCCTTCTTCCCTTGCAACTACCAACAAAAACTCAAATACATTCAACCTAATTGCTACTAGCTTTGACATCCTCAACTTAAACAGGCTGAATTCACATTTTACATATGAATCCAGTCCTCCCCCCTGTTTTCAACTCTATACTTATTTTTTCATTACTATGGCCCTCTACACTGTCTAATCCTGATTTAAATTTGTCCTTACAGTTGAGTTCATAGCCATTTCTAAGTCTAACCTATTTAAGTATAAATCATTCATTCCAAAAAAGCTGCATTTTCCTACTGAACTGATCCAACCAGCCAACTTGCTTGTCTTTACATATTAACCTAAGCCTAGCATTTAGCCCTGTTGACCTTCTTATAATTTAATTCTCACATTTACATCTTGGCAGTATTCCTCACAGACTTGGGTTGTTATAGTATATTTCTTTGAATGCTTTATGTTTAACACTAAGTTTCTCTGACCTACCCTTCCCTACATCATTAGCCCCTTTGTACACTACAAAGACTCTGTCATTATATCGTCCACTCCTAGCCTTGGATAGCATTATATAATTCGTTTCTTCCTATTTACCCCACAGACTATCCTATCCATGTGCTGTACTAAAGAATCTCCTAAAACAATAACTTTCTTATGTTTTTTAATCCTATTCCTTTTGTTATCCGTCCCTCCTATAGTTCATCATCTGCATAAGCTAATGGATGAAATCTACTACTTATCAACCTCCTCATTATAATTAAAAACACTACTATTAGTACTGTTTTTAACTTCCTGAAAGTCATTATTAGGCACTATATCCTTTGTATTCAAAAGCTTAATTTTCTCTTTAAATCCTGCTGTGATTTCCCTCAGTTTACCTTTTTCTTTATCCATAGCCAGTAACCCTATTTCGGACATCCTCCAATTTGTCCTCCAACCTACAAACTCTACATGCAAATTGTACACCTTTATTACTAGCTTACTTAAATGTGTATGTCTTTCCCAAATTCCCAAATATAACCCACTCCTAGTACCTGTTGTGCTTTACAAATTGTGGGCACTTAATACTTACACTGCTTTAACCACTTTAGCCTGGGGATAAATAACCAACACTTAAATACAAGTATCCCACTGAGAGGACTGTTAAGCCTAACCTTAAAGTTAAATATATTATGCTATTTTATCACTTCCTTATCTTTTTACTCATGTAATTAAGTTTACCTATAAAATGTGGTGACAGATAACTAGTTTTTGGATTGTGTTTATGTAATAATTTACTTAGACTGTTTTATAACTTACCAATAACTGAATAAGTTTAAATTATAGCATCTTGTCTCTTGTTGTCACTGGCTGACCTGTTGCTGGGGGAAGTTCTTCCTAGGTAGATGATTAACTGAATTCACTGATGGCTTTATCCTTGATGATCCTCTGGAAGTAGTCTGTGAGCTAGTTGAAACTAGTCTAATCTCACATCCCTGTCTCCACATGAATTCAGTTCCAATTATGCATTCTTCCTCGATCTCAATCACTCACACATCATGAGGCACAGAGAAACTTCCTACAGTAATGGTAATTTACATCTTCCGTTTGCTGGAACTTTATGTCCTTCTGCTGTTGACATCGGTCCCTCATCTTTATTCTTCTCTGGAGGCAATTTTCCATCTTTCATTGACAAATCAAGTCGAACAATTGTAGATTCAGAACCAGTGTCATTCAGCACACTGCAAGGTTTTTCAATCTATAAACCCATGGACTAGTGGACAGCTTTCCTCAAATAAAGAACTTCTTTTCTCATGTGAGATAGGTGAACTATTCCCAGCTGAACTTCATCTCATAAATCCTGCAAGTTCATGACTTTTTTTATTATTTCTAATTAGCTCTTTGTTGATCTTTGACCTGGTTGAGCTTAAAGATACACTCGATACAAGTCCTTTCTTAAATAAATTTGGTTTATTCTTTCTGAATACAACTTTGCAATACACTTAACTTCCACAGTCACGCTATAACAAATGCTATAATTCACAACAAACGACTCATGTGCTCGACTCAATTGTCAGTCTCTCTGTGTCTGCAGTTCAGTTACATTACAGTGTTTCCATCACTTCTTGGCGGTCTTATATATATATATATATATATATACAAGAATACCGAAATCTAGTAAACGCTCGAGGCTTCATGAACCTTCGAGAATATGACGTGTTACTAGAATCACGTGACCACTGCTGTCGTAACACTGCCTCTTCCTTAGTATTGTTCATCCTGAACAATAGCCACTTACATTAAACCAATAAACAATTAACAATAACTTAATTTAATGTACAGAATTTACAAACACAAAATTAAAATTCAACAAAGTCTCTTAATTTTGTGGGACGTATCTTCTTCCATACTGGCCTCCATCTTGTTGGCTTCTGCTTCATGTGGGGTTCATCTGCTTCATCAGAAAACGTCCTATCATTAGTAACAGTCACATCAGTGGTATTAACTTCATCAAGGGCTTCGCTGTTTCCCTTCTCAAAACCGAGTAGAGTTCCTTTTTCGACAGTGGCTTTTTCAGGTGACACGTCTTCAGCAGAGTCATTTGTTCCATTGTTCACTTCATCCCAACTGAAATGTCCTGGATAATGCCAAAGCCTGTTGGCATGCACCACCTTTGGCTTACCTC